CTTGAGCGCCTGGATACGGCTTTCGCCACCCGCACGTTCACCATTATACAGTCGTTGTTCGAAGACTTCGGGAATTCCCGAAGTCTTCGAACAACGACTGGAAAGTTATGGACGTCTTCCCACGCAGTGCCAACATAACTTGGAAGTTATGTTGGCACTGCGTGGCGCGCCCTTGCCTGCCCTGTTGTACACTGCAGTGGCCGAGTTGTGGTGGTGGTTGTGGTGGTGTTGTTGGTGGTAGTGTTGATGGTGGTGACGTCGGTGTGCGCGTGGAGGGCGTGGTGGTGGTGGTGTTGTCGGTTCGCGCGTGGAGGGTATTCGTTATTCGGCAATCGATTCAGATCATGCGTTTCAAAGAATGCAATTATCAGCCACCGCGCCGCGAGGTACGATGGGCGTGTCCTAAGCTCATCACCCCTTAATTAGAAGTTTTTAATGAGTTCGGATCCCCTCGTCCCGACTCTCTTTGGGCTTGGCGCGTCCCCCCTGGGGCTTCGCGCGTCTTGTCGCGTGACTTTGTCGGGCCCATGTGCAAGAGGGCACGAATATTGGGCAAGAGGGCCCCAAGAAGCCCTCAAGACGGTCCCAAACGGCTCCGAGTCGCCGAAACATCGCCCCAAGACGCCCAAGATGGCCCCAGGACGGGCCAAGAGGCCTCCAAGACGCTCCAATAAGTCTCGAAGAGGCCTCCTAAGAGAGCCCCGAGACGCCCAAATCATTTATGTTTCAATTGTTTTTGAAGGATTTTGGGTTTTTCGCGCTCTCGGCTTCCCGACGCTCCAAGACGGCCCACGAGGCCCCCAAGGCGGCCCCCAGACGGCCCAAGAGGCCCCGAAGTTGGCCCCAAGACGGCCCGAGAGGGCCCCAGGACGGCCCAAGAGTCACCCACAACGGCCCAAGAGGGCCCCAAGGCGGGCCCAAGAGGGAACCAGGAGGAGGAAAAAGGCTTTCATTTCGAGCCCTCGGCCACCGGACGTCCCAAGGAGGCCCAAGGAGGCCCTCAAAAGGCCCCCAAGAGGCCCCCCAGCGGCCCCGGGCAGGCCCCGCCCCAAGAGGCCCCACAACTGGCCCCAAGAGGCCTCGAACATGTGGTCCGTGCCATTTGAGGCATACGCACCATGCCTCATGTGGTACTTGGTCGGGGCCCCTTGAAGCATCCGAAAGACCTACCACGAGATCCCAACGAACACTCCAGAGGCCTCTGACTCATAACCCAGGCACGGTGGCAGGATGGGCCGAAGGCCAGTAGATCCGCCGCCCCCTGCTTGCAGGGGTGCACGGCGTGCTGGACGTTTCAGGTTTTTTTTTTTTTTTTTTTTTTTTTTTTTTTTTTTTTTTTTTTTTTTTTTTTTTTTTTTTTTTTCCAAAAGAAACTCCCCAGCGGGTTTCGGCCCGTCCCGCCAGCCACGCGCAAATTTCCGAAAATCCGCCTGTCAATGCCCAAAAACGGCCGTTTCGCTCGGGACATCCTCAAAAAATCGCGAAGATGGCCCAAGATGGCCTCCAAGTCCGCCCGAGATGGTCCAAGACGGCCTCCAAGACGGCCCACCAGAGAGTCCAAGACGGCCCAAGACGGCCCAAGAGGCCCCCCAGAGGCCTCCCAGACGGCCCAAGAGGCCTCCAAGAGGTCCTCCAGGAGAGTCCGAAGAGGCCAAAATCATTGATTTTCCATTGGTTTTTGAAGGATTTTGGCATTTGCGCCTTTTCGGCTCTCCGACGGCTCAAGACGGCCCAAGAAGCCCCCAAGATCGCCCAAGAGGCCCCCAAGAGAGCCCCATGATGGCCCAAGTGGCCTCCAAGATGGCCCCTCGAGGGCCCCAAGAGGGCCCAAGAGGCCTCCAACACGCCCAAGATGGCCTCCAAGACGCCCAAGATGGCCTCCAAGACGGCCCTGGAGCCGAACAAGCGGGCCCCAAGTCGGCCCATAGAGGCCCCCCAAACGGCTTCCGACGGCTTCAGACGCGCCAGGAACCCACCAAGATGGCCGAAGTTGGCTCGAAGCTGGCCCGAGACGGCCCACAAAGCCCCAAAGATCGCCAAAAGCTTGCCCAAGAGGCCTCCAAGACGGCCAAGATGACCTTCAAGATGCCCACGCGTTCCCCGAAGGCTTTCCAAACCGATTCGGGGAACACGTGGCCCGATAGCTTGGCAGGTCTGGCCTCAACGTTCGGCCACATAGGCGCTTCCAAAAAGGCAGGGGGCGGCGGTGATTCGCCGTGGGCGTCTTCGATAGCATCAGAGTGCCGTCGTGATTTGGGCGCTGTCCTTCCACGCGCGTGGCCAGATCGACAAGGCTTCCCGGGGTGGGTGGGTGGGTGGGAGGAGAGGAGGGGGGGGGGGGGGGGGGGCGTCGTGGACCGAGGGGGGACAAGGAGCAAGGAGCAGGAGTATGAAGATCAGGAGACAGTCGCCCACCAGCTGGGCTAGAAGAAGCTGAAACCAGAAGGGAGTTCAGCCCGCCCCGAAACTGCTGCGGAACAGACTCCGAGGACGAGGAGGAGGAGGAGGAGGACGAGGAGGAGGAGGAGGAGGAGGAGGAGGAGGAAGAGGGGGAGGGGGAGAAGGAGGTTGAGGAGGAGGTGGAAGAGGAACAGGTTACGCTGGGATGCGCACCAGAGTGCCGAACACGAACATGAATCGAAAGTGACCTTCGCCCAATCTGAACCCCAACAGGCCTTCGGCCCGCTGGAGGAGGAAGAGGAGGGTGAGGAAAAGTTGGATAAAAGGGAGGAGGAGGAGGAGGAGGAGGACGACGAGGAGGAGGAATGCCCCTCTTCTCTTGAGTTCTCCTGCCCTTTGAAAGTGGGTGGATCGGCGGACAGGCGAAGCCTCATTCAGTAAGAGGGCCATGGGTCGGCGGATAGGCGAAGCCTCATGAGCGATCGCGTCGATCATTTGGCACGCATGGTGTCATGAAATAACGCAGCGAGGCCTACAATGTAACGCTGAATGGTGCGAATCGCGTTCGTCGCACCATGCGCGTTTCTGTTGAGTCCGGCAATCCGGCCACCGAAATCCTCCATTGCAGATGTCGAATTGAATCTCGGATTCCACCCTTGCTTGAAAGCGTCCTCTCGCATGTGGTCAAAGTAGTGGTGTTTCGGGAGAACCTTCCACAGAGACCTGTTAGATTCATCGGCTTGCGCCGTGAGCTTCTCATACGCTAGCGGATACGCCTCCGCAGAGCAGTTCGTGCGTTGGCGCTCTTCGTCATCGAGCCAACGGCCTGCCTTGTCGAGCAGGTGCACCCATTCTGCAAGCCCCCAGATGCATGCCATCCGCAACTGGCTGTGATCATCTGCGCCACCGAAGACTGTGATAATAGGCGCCACGAATCCGATGAGCAACTTCACCTCCCATGCCTTCCACCACGATGACAACTCTGGATACGTAGTGCGACGGGACGACCAGTCCGCCCAGCCAATTGCTTTCATCGAAAGCCCATGCCGTGGATCCCGCAAGTTGTTCGTGCGGCACCATATGCGAAGCTCGTCGTCCAAGTATTGCATGGATTCATTGCGGTCGCCACTGCATGGAGGTACGTTTCCCTGTTCAATCAACTCTGCTAACGCGGTGCCGACCGCTGGTCGAGCATGCCCCAAATACACGTTATGCAGCACGTCCTCTAAGCTCAAGAGATGGTGCCAGCCAGGGATTACAGATAATGGCGATGCACCAGGGCCCTCTAGAGCCATGAACTCCAAGCCGGAAGCCTGAGTCTTCCGCCAGGCCGCCTTCTTGTTGAACGTACCAAAGCACGCAACGTTGCTAGGATGTTTGTGAGCCAAGCACTTCTCGCACATCAGGTTACACTGCCACCATCATTTGTAGTTGTGCATCTGTACCATAGCCTTCCTGTCTCCCAACAGACCCCCGAAAGCCATCCGACATTCGCCAGCGATGGGTTGGCCAGCGGCTTCCCCTCGACAAGAGGTCGACGGGAACTCTTCACCGTGCATTCCTTTGTCCGGCATGCGTCCAGACATTCCCGCGGTGAAGCTCCAGGCAAGAGATTTTGCCATCTCGTTGTGCAGGGTATTCTTAGCAGTCCGAGTCGGGACGAAACGTTCCGGAACTACGCGCGTCAGGAGGCGACGCAGAAAGGGATCAGATCCATGACGGAAGGCGGAACAAGCGCTATAAATATGGGCCTCCTGATTGCGAAATGATTCCACGCCGTCGTACCAGATGCGGATCGGAATTGTTTTGTCTAGCACAAACGGGTCTCTAAACACAGGATGTCCTGCGCCCCAGGGTCGCATCAAAGCTCGTTCCCAAAATTCTAAGATATCGCCCGGGCTCTCGTCGCCAAGTACGCTTTGCACGAAAAGACTCTCCGAGAAGCTGTGGATCGCATGATGCACTTCGTGCGGGGCGAGAACTGGCGCCCAGGCGCCGTCGGCAGAACCGAATGGGACCCGAAGGTAGTAGGGCGCGAGCTTGATCCCGTAGAGGCGCCGAGTCCATCGTTCCCAATCTCGCTCATTGATGGTGCCGTCACGAGACAGCCTGAACGATGACAGTTGCTCTAATGCTGGCGTGGATGCGCCTGTTCGCACCAGTCGCCGTGCTGCAGCCACGGCAGGGCCTGGGCGTTGGCGGCCAGTTCCAACCTGGATCAGGGTATGCAGCATCTCCTCATCATCCGACATCTCGTCCACGCGTCGACGCTTTGTCTGTAGTGGTGCATGGCCGCTCGCCCTGGCCGCACTTAGACGTCTGGCGCGAGCCAGCATGACGGACTTTGAGCCAAAATGCTTACGGACTTTGCAGAATAATGATGGGGCGCGGGAGCGTTTAGAAAGCATCGTCAATTCAAGAATCAAGACCTGAAGTGAGAGGAGGATTCTCGAGGCGAATACAGCTGGTGCACAAACGCGTCAAATATGGCATATATGATGACTTCCCACAGGCACACCCTACAGGGCCGCGAACTACCACGTGCCTTGTGTACAGCGCCTGCTGGTTTCCCCTACCCCTCACGACTCGGAGGCGCGAGCCTTCGCCGACTTCACCTTCTTGGCCTTCTTGACCTGCTCCGGAACCACAGCGTTCATCCTGTACTGGCAGATTTTCTTGTTCTTCTCCACCCAGCTCGAGTGCGGGGCGAGCTGGTCCCTTGCCCAGTCGATGAACGGCTGAGAGATCTCCAGGGACTGCCCACCCGCCTCTCTCTCGGCCATGCACATCTTCTGGAGAAGATCCTCCAGATCTTCCAACTGCTCGTTGCACTTCGCCACCGTCTCAGCCGCGCCCCCATCCGCCTTGCAGGTGCGGACCACCTTCGAGAAGAAAGATGCGTGCTTGTCGGCCGTCTGGATCATCTCGTGCAGCTGCTCCGTCGTCGTATCGGCCTTGACCTCGACGATGCTTGACTCCTCCTTTTTGTGAGTAGTCTTCGGCTTCGCCTTGGTCCAACCCTGGAGGCGGGCGTGGAAGTCCTTCGCAGCTTCTTGGCTCATCTCGCCGACCGGTGGAAGACTAAACAGCCCATTGCACCCGCCGATCTCCATGGCGTCCTCGGGCCTGATACTCGCCTGCACCTCGACGCCGTCCTCGTTCTCCTGGATGTCATCGACGCTCACCTCGGCGGAGTTGAAGACCCACCATCGTGTTTCTTCTTCGTCATCAGGGAAGAGCTCGTCAACAATGAACCGCCCCAGGTGCTTGGCGTTGTCGACCGCTTTCTGCGCTTTCTTCGCATCGCCCCCGTAGATATTATCCTTGATGTCGCGCTTCTTCATGTAGGCCCAGCCCTTGTGAGTGGTGGTTCGCTGGATCTGCCGACGCTTCATCACCAGCAGACACTTGGAGATATCGCGATTGTTCGCCAGCCACACGCTGAAGAGGTCATTCTTCGCATTCGTGAGGTACGGCTGGACATCCTTCAGGTATGCTTTGCGACCAGTCATCGCCCTGGTGAAGGCAGCCCACTCGGCGGGGTGGCTGCTCGAGTTCGGAGCTTGACCTACAGGCAAACCGCATGCCTGAGACCACTCTGGCTTTGCCACCCCATCAGCTGCCAGGGGGTCCACATGCGTCGGCGTCACCTCGGTCGCCACGAGGCTGGTAAGAGTCGCGCATCGCCTGCGCCGCGGCGGGGCCAGGCGTGACAGGCGAGGCAGGCGCAGCAGGCGTAGCAGGCGAAACAGACGGCGCACCACGACCAGCATCCAGCGACGGCTCACCAGCCTCGGCCACGGCCGCCCCACACGCGGGAGGCGCCACAGCCGCGACCGGCGCTGGAGGCTGCGCGGCATCGCGAGCGGCGCCTTTGCCACTAACGATGCCCTTGGGCGGCGTTCTCTGCAGCAGCGCCAGCTTGTCCCTGCGAAGGCGGTCGATGATCCCTGGGTACTCAGTCACAGCGTGCTCCAGGAGGTAGTCTTTGTGGACCCGCGCCTCGGACGTCGCCACGAGGCCCCCCGCCGCGGCCTCGATGATGTCACGAAGGCTCGACCCCGAGCGCGTAGACCCATCCGACGTGGACGAGCGCGGAGACAGCTTGGTCGGCGCGTCGACCGGTGTGCCTGTCGCCGCCGCCGCCAAGCAAGGAGGCGGCTCCTGGCGAGGGCGAGGACGTGGCCGTAGCGCCGACTGCATCGCTGCCCCTGCCGTCGGCGGCGCCTGCTTTTGGCGGCGCGCCGAGGGGGCGCGGGGGGGGGGCAAGGCTTTCACGCGCCACGTGCGCACTGCGCGTTCTGGAAAATTAAAGCTCTTGAGCCCCCGTGAGCCCCTAGAGCCCCTGTAGCCCCCTTGAGCCCCCTTGGGCCCCCTTGGGCCCCCTTGAGCCCCCTTGGGCCCCCTTGAGCCCCCTTGAGCCCCCTTGAGCGCCCTTGAGCCCCATGAGCCCCTGTAGCCCTTTGAGCCCCTTGAGCTCTTTGAGCCCTTTGACCCCCTTGAGCCCTTGAGCCCATTGAGCCCCCTTGAGCCTCCCTTTGCCCCGTCCCCTGTGCCCCCCTAGGCGCGCCGCCAATGCTTCTGCTGTTTGGCAGCCGCCTTCGCCATGGTCGGAGGATTCCTGAGGCGATCAGTACTGGTGCCCATAGTAGGCTGTGGAGCGGAAAAGCTCGAGCCAAAAGAACTACGCATCACAATCGCCACGGGCCAATCCACGCCGGTTTACAGCTATCCACGCCGGTTTCACGGGCATTCTACGCAAAGTTCGTTTCGTTTGTTTTGTTGTTTGCTTTTTGTTTTGATGTGCTTCGTCGTTTCACTAGGATTCTGCTTCTGCTCGAGAGACTGCCACTTGGCTGAACCTCGCCATCCGTTTTCCCCCTTTAGATGCGGGTGGATCGGCGGACTGCATTCGTCTCCCTTGGGAGGAGAGGGGAGAGCGAGAGAGAGAGAGAGAGAGAGAGAGAGAAAGAGAGAGAGAGAGAGAGGGGGGACGCTCACGGAGGGGGGAAAAGGGAGGAGAAAGGGTGGCACCAGCGGCTACTGCTCAGCGGCAGCGCGCTGGGCAGGGCACGCTAGGGCAGGCAGCCGCCGCCCCGCCCCCGATCCTCTGGTCGACGGAGCCACAAGGGCCAGGACCCGTCTACCAGCAACAGGAGGTGCGGCAAAGCGGTTGTCGGCCTCTCACACACTACTCATTATCTGTTTTTTTGTTTTTGGGGGGGGGGCTAGAGGGACTCGTGGGGGCCAAAGGGGGCCGTGGGCCACGGTCGGCGCGGACGGAAGTGCACCGCGCTCCCGCGGCGCGCCGCAAGTGCAGCAGCCGGCCGCAGAGTCAGCCCTGCAAACAGGACAGAAACGAGCAGTGCCAGCGTCGCTCATCCAGGCCCGAGCCGTACAGGCCCAGGACAGATAGGCCCCCACGCACTGGCAACCGCAGGACACCTCCACGTGAGGCACACTGGGGGCACCAAAAATGAAAAGTCAGCCTGGGGCGAGCCATCCAGGACCAGTTCTGCACTCTTCCCATACAGCAGCGACAGTTTTGTGCCGACGCGAGAGGGGGCAGTCGTGCCTCGAAGGCCTGTTCGGGAGTCCCTGGGAGACCAAGGCGAGCAGCGTTGTGAGAGCATACAAACGCATTGCACATGCACGCACACAGCAGCGACACACTCGGAGGAAGAGGGTATAGCAGCATATATGCTGCTATACCCTCTTCCTCCGAGTGTGCGCACGACGCGGAACTGTCAAACAGAATTGTCTAACAGAGTGTCGGCTCGCCTCGCGTATATACGTTCGCCCGACGCGGAACTGTCAAACAAAATTGTCTAGTTGACTGTCGGGATGTTGTCCTCATCTGAACTAGACTTTGCTGTGCGTTCCTTCCCCCCCCCCCCCGACGCCGGGATGTCCTGTTCAGTCGACGGGGGAATTTCGTCAGGCACGGCCCGACCAGCAGGCCTGTCAGACGGGAGAATTTCGTCAGGCACGGCAGGAGGAGGAGGAGTGTTCACCCCGAGCTCTCCCGAGGCCCGTCGGGCGAACACTATATCACCTGCTCGCTCGACGGCGGCGCTTTGCCTAAGAGGTCCAAACATACGCCCAACCCCGAGGGTGTTATGTTACAGGAGGAGGAGGATGAGGAGGACGGGAGGAGAACTCTGAACGTCACGCCGTCGTCGTCGTCGTCGTCGTCGCCGCCTCGAGCAGCTTGAAAAAAAAGGGGAATTCAGAATTTCCTTTTTTTTCAGTTTGAAGGTTGTCGTCGTCGTCGGCGTCGTCATCGTCGTCGTCGTCGTCGTCGTCGTAGTCGTCGTCGTTGTCGTCGTCGTCGGCGTCGTAGTCGTCGTCGCCTCGAGCATCTGGAAAAAAGGAAATTCAGGATTTCTCTTTTTTCAAGTTTGAAGATCGTCGTAGTCGTCGTCGTCGTCATCGTCGTCGTCGACCAGCCCTCCCCGCGCTCCCACGCATGCCCCCTGGAGGGCTCCTAGAGCGACCGGGGCAAACGTGGTCCGATAGCTTAGCCGACATGGCCACCACGTCAGGCCAAATAGGCCCATCCCACAGGCAGGGGGCGGCGGTGATTCCCCGTGCGCGTCTTCGACTCAACAGAAGCTGACGATGGGAATCCCAATCGAATCCCTGAGCCCCAGAATCACCTCGATGGAGATCGGCCCGCCTTCCAAGGCCTCGGCAGCAGCAGCAGCAGGGGGGGGGGATATCAGCAGGAGGTGGAGGCGGAGGAGGACGACTGGACTGGACTGGAACCCTGGGACAGAACGAGTGCGCTGGATTCTGGGACCGGAGGGGGGCGAGGAGGAGGAGGAGGAGGAGGAGGGGGTGAGTTGGCATCAACCGTCTGATTCGAATGAGTGCCACGGAAACGCATCAGGCCTCTAAGTGGCAAGGAACGCGAACACATCATCGATCAACGCGTCCCCCCACTCGTCATCGCACTCCCTACTGTGGAGGTTGTCGGGGATGACCTCCCCGCTGGCCGATCCGAATTTATTTTCGCACTCAAGACAGATACCAGGTAAGTGCTTCACGTGCACTTCTGCCGCGGCGTCTCCGAATGCTCCAGCGTAAGATTGTGATTCCCGCATTGCGTCCTTCTTGCCGTCGACGCGCCTGATGCCGTCGCTGTCCAGGCAGGTCCGCACCAAAGACTCAGCCTCGCTCGTTCCCCCCTGGGTCGCGTGCATGCTGAGCTCGCGCACCCATGGGCGATTGCTATACATCCACAGTGGCTTGGCGCTGTCGCCACCGAAACACCCCATGCGGACTGTTGTCCGCCACGCGGTGAAACCTCGCTGAAGAAACTCTCGAAGCCGAGGGTGATGTATCATCAGGCTCCCGATCGGTTGTTCGAGGAGCCACCAGGCGCCACGAGCTTCGTAGATGAATAACAACAATACAAGCCGTGAGACCATGCAATTTGCTTCTCGAACCACCTGCACACGCGTTCCCCCTAGGGGGTCGCCAGCCGCGCGGTGCGACGCACACCGATTAACCCAACCCCAGCTTGAGCACACAGGAGCGTTCATGCACATACCGCCGTCGACCAACCCAATTGCGCAATTTAGCGCGTGGAGAAATCCAATCGCAGATAAAATATCACATTGGCCATTCGAGTGATCTTCCTTTCCAAACGTAACAGCACGAAATCCACGTCTCCTCAATGCTTTCGCGACCTCTGCCCTCCCAGAGAAAGTTTCGAAACAATCCACGATCTGATGCGAAACGCCGCCTGATGCCAGCGAGATCATCCAGATAAGTCGGAGAAGCACGCGAGGAGCCTTCAGCATGACCAGCCGTTTCAAAAACAACAGCGCGTTCTGCGACACTCCAGCATTGCTCGTTTTCTGCCGCTTCGGCTGCATATGCGGTAAATGAAAAGCTAGAACAAGCTTGATCCGAAATGACTACGGAGGAGGTGCACGCGCCACTTCTTCGCTCCCTCCAGGGAATCGGCCTGTCAGAAGGCACGCTGAGTCAGGCAGACAACCAATTAGAACAAGAATAGTCGCGTCGCCTGCGAGATGATAGGAAAGAGTTGGATATGGGCCCGGGCTCTCCAGCACGAACGCGACAATTGCTCAGCGAACATGGCCAATGCAGGCATGAGAATGACAATCGTTGAAGCGCACAACGCTGGCAACTCAACCAACACAATGCCAACAACAATTACGAGAGACAAAGCAACGAACATGACAGCTGGCTCGACGACAACACGTTCAAGACGTACAAACTGCACCGAGCTGGACGCGGAGAAGAGGCAGTGGCGGAGGATGAGGGGGGCAGGGGGGCACGATGACGCGACGCGATCAGGTGAGGGGAGGTGGCGGCGGAGGGAGAGGAGGATTAGTTGGGATGTCCTAGACCCCCAGAAGATATCCAAGACACCTCTAGAGCCGATCGGAGCGACACTCTGCAGATCAGACTGCGACAGGTGGCCAGCAGCGGCTCTCACTCCCAGCCCAGCTTGGCGCGCAGCTCCTTCCAGGTGCTCTCAGGCCCAGCCGAGGACCACGAAAACGTCTGTTTTCCCGCAACCTTTTCCCCGCCAGCGACCTTCTTCGCAAAGAACGCTGCAGAGCGGATCTGCACTTCTACCGCAGCCCCGTTCTCGTTCTTCATGGTGTAGCTGTGCTGCCCACCGAGGAAGTCGCCCGAGGGGATCAACTCGGCTGGACCGCCGAGGCCCTTGAGAAATGCTGTGCGATCCTTTTCGTCGGCGAAGTCGTCCCTCAGATTCCGAATCCGATCCTCCTTAGAAATCTTAGCGGCCGCAGCCGCATCCGCCTTCGCTGTTTTCTCTCACCCTCATCCTTCGCCTCAGCGGGCCTTTTCGGAGGAGCGGCGTCATCTGGAGGCGTTCCCTTCTCGATTGGCGCAGCCTTCAGCGCGCCGACCACCCCAGGAACGCTCGCTGGCTGCAGCGGCGCAGGATACTGGGCGGCCTTCTCGGATGGAGGAGGCTTCTGCTTTTCTGAAGCGGCCGAGGCCCACGTTGAAGCGAGCGACGGAGTACGATGCTTGGACTTCAGGCGCTCCTTCATGACCTCGGCTCCCTCCTGACTGAAGAGGCTGAGCTGCTCCTCGGAAGCCTTCTCCTCGACCGTGCGCTTCTCAGTCTCGCCCTTGCCGCCCTTGCTGCCCGC